AGTTCCTTCTCCTGGCGTGCAGTCCTCCCGATATTTGCATTATCCTTCTTATGTTGCTGCTTATGTATGGGTGTATGTATGTATGCGTATATATAAGATATAGATATATAGTTATGGATGCGTGTACGTAGGTGTGGATGCGTGTGTGCATGTATGTATGTAGTTGTGTATGCACGTATGTGTATGTATGTGTGTATGCATGTATGTATGCGTGTATGCGTGCTTGTTTTTATGTGTGTACGTATGTATGTATGGATGGATGGATGCATTGATGTATGTATGCATGCATGTATGTATGTCTGTAAATAGGTATATGTGTATGTGTGTATGCGTATTTGTGATCATGGATTTATGTATGTGTGTCTGCATGCATGTATGTATGTATGTATGTATATATGTATGGATGCATGTGTGTACGTATGGGTGTACGCACCCATGTATGCATATATTAGTGCATGTATGCAATTATGCCAGTATGCATGTATATATCTCTCTATATATGTATCTATACGTGTATGTGCGTATGCACGTGTTTGTATGCATGCATGGGTTTAGGCGTCTATGTTTGCATATATCTATGTCTGTATATACGTATGCATGTATGTATGTATGTATGTATGTGTGTACGTGTGTACGTATGTGTATGCACGCACGTATGCAAGCATGAACTTCTGTAGTTATGCATGCATGTATGTGTGTATGTATGTGTGTGTGGATGTATGTATGTATGCATGCATATATGCATGTATGTATGCATGTATGTATGTATGTATGCGTGCATACATGCATGTATGTATGTATGCACGTCTGTATGTATGCATGTATGTATGTATGTATGTACGTATGCTTGTATGCATGCATGCATGTATGCATGCACGCATGTCTGTCTGCCTGTCTGTCTGTCTGTCTGTCTGTCTGTCTGTCTGTCCATCTCTCTGTGTGTCTGTTTGTCTGCATGCATGCATGCATGCATGGCAGTATGTATGTATGTATGCATGCATGCACGCATGCATGTTTGTTTGTTTATATGTATGTATGTATGTATATGTATGCATGCATGCATGCATGCATGCATGCATGTATGTGTGTATGTCTGTCTGTCTGTCTGTCTGTCTGTCTGTCTGTATGTATGTATGTATGTATGTATGTATGGGTCTGTATGCATGTATGCATAGATGCATGCATGTAGGTAGGTCGGTCGGTCGGTATGTAGGCAGGTAGGTATACATACACAGTGCTGCCAGAAAGCCGCTCCCCCCTCCTCTCCCTCCCCCCTCCTCGGCCCCTCCCCTGCCTCCGCTCCTCGAGACGGAGGAGGAGGGGGGGGGGCCTGCGCTCGCCCCCCTCGGGGGGTCGCGGCCGCGCCAGGCATCGCGGCGGCCAGAAGAGCGTTGCCGGGCGGCCCGACGCCCGCGAGCGCGGAGCCCGCCCCCGCCGCCGCCGCCGCCGAGGGCTGGCCGCTACGATCTACGTTGCGATCTGCTGGGCCTCGGGAGGCCGCGAGTAGGGAGTAACGAGGAGTGAGTAGTGAATAGCGAGTAGGGCGTTGTGAGTAGTGAGTAGTGAGGAGGGATTAGCCAGGAGTCAGTAGTGAGTAGTGAGTAGGGAGCAGTGCGTAGCGAGTAGGGAGTTGCAAGTAGTGAATAGTGAGTAGTGAGTTCGGTAGTGAGTAGGGAGTAGCGAGTAGAAATTAGTGAGTAGTGAGTTGTGAGTAGTGAGTGGTGAGTAGCGGTTTGCGACTAGTGACTACTAGACTAGTGAGTAGGGAGGACGGAGTAGTGAGTAGGGAGTAGCGAGTAGTGCGTAGTGTGTAGTGAATATGTCCTAGTGGGTAGCGAGGAGCGGATAGTGATCAGTGAGTTCTGGGAGTTGTGAGTTCTCAGTAATAAATCACGGATATTTGTTAGTGGGTAGTGAGCAGTGCTAAGTGAGTAGTGAGTCGTGTTTAGTGAGTAGTGAGTATTGAGTACTGGGTAGTGAGTAGTGAGTAGTGAGTTGGGAGTATTGAGTAGGGAGTAGGAAGTAGTGAGTAGTGAGTAGTGGGAGCGTAGTGAGTAGTGAGTAGTGGTAGTGAATAGTGCGTATTGGGTAGCGAGTAGGGCGTAGGGAGTAGCGAGCAGTGAGTAGTGAGTAGTGAGTACTGTGTAGGGAGTAGGGAGTAGCGAGTAGCGAGTAGTGGGTAGTGCGTCGTGGGTAGTGAGTAGTGAGTCGTGAGTAGTGAGTATTGACTAGTGAGAAATGAGTAGTGAGTAGTGATTCGTGAATTGTGGGTAGTGAGTAGTGCGTAATGAGTAGTGAGTACTGTTTGGGGCTAGGGTTTGGGTTTGGGGTTAGGGTTAGGGGTGTAGGGCAAGGGCGATGATTAGTGTTAGGAGTGGTAGGGGTCGGGTTCGGGAGACCAGGGGCGCCGTGGCTAAAAGGGGGGAAGGGGGAAGGGGTGAATTTGGCGTCCAAAGGGGGGAGGCGGGGGTTTCGGACTCCCCCTCTTTTGAAAGGGGGGAGGGGGGGGTCCCCGACGACGGACAGGGAAAGGGGGGGGGGGGGGGGGAGGATCGGGTCGGGGAAGGGGGGGGGGGTCCCAACCCCACCCCCACCCCGTTGGGGTCATCCAGCGGCGCGCCCTCTGTATATGTGTATAGATATATTTCTCTCTCTCTCTCTCTCTCTCTCTCTCTCTCCCTTTTTCCTTTTTGGCCTCTCTATCTCTCTCTCTCTCTTGTTTTTTTTTTTTTTTTTTTTTTTTTTTTTTTTTTCTCTCTCTCTCTCTCTCTCTTCTCTCTCTCTCCTCTCCTCCTCAGTGTGCCGCCCACCCTGCAACGTATGTAGCACACCTCGCGGAAGCACTCGCCCCCCATAGCCTCATACACGCGAGGGCCATACACTCCTGCACGGGTGTATCCCGCCGCTCCCCGCTCCTGGCCGCCATGGGGGCCTCTCGGACAGGCCGACACCTGCTGCCCCAGTCCGCCCCAACGAGATCCGCCAGCCAACGACGCTTCGAAGCCGACGCTCGCGGCGACGACGCCGACGGCGCCGCCGCCGCCGCCGCCACCGTCGTCGTCGTCGTCGTCGTCGTCGTCGTCGTCGTCGTCGTCGTCGTCGTCGTCGTCGTCGTCGTCGTTCTCGTCCTCGTCCTCGTCGTCGTCCTCATCCTCGTCCTCGTCCTCGTCCTCGTCCTCGTCGTCCTCGTCGTCCTCGTCGTCGTCGACGTCGTCGTCGTCGTCGTCCGTCTCCTCCTCTTTCTCCTCCTCCTCCTCCTCCTTCTCCTCCTCCTCCTCCTCCTCCTCCTCCTCCTCCTCCTCCGGCGGGGGCGCCCGCGCCACCGAACAAAAAGCTCCCTTCTCAGAAGCTGCGGGCCGCCCAGAGGGCAGCGCCGGCGCCGCCAGAGTGGGAGGCCGGCAGCTCCCTTCGCCCTTTGCCGATTCGCCCTTCCCTTCCCTGCCTCCTGCTGCTCTGTTCCTCTCAGCTCCTGCCTCTGCTCCTCCACACTCCTCCCCCGCCTCCTCCTGCTCCTCCATCCCCCCCCCTCTCAGTCCGTCTTTCCCCTCCCCTTCCACCTTCCCCCGCCGCCTTCCCCTCCGCCCCTCCTCTCAGTCCGTCTTTCCCCCCCTCTCCGCCTTCCCCCGCCGCCTTCCCCTCCGCCCCTCCTCTCAGTCCGCCTTGCTCCTCTCCCCCTCTCTCAGTCCGTCTTCCCCCTCCTCCTCCGCCTTCCCCCGCCGCCTTCCCCTCCGCCCCTCCTCCCCACGCCTTCCTCTCCCAGTGCCTCGCCACGCCGTCACTGGCGCCGTCGCGTTTTATCAGGAGGCAAAAAAATACACAGACACAATGAATCATCGATTCCACAGAAAATATGGGAAAATATGGGAAGTGGGGGGGAAGACGAAAACCCAGAAAATATAGGAACATATAGGGATTTGTTTTATTTGTGTGTATTTATTTGTGTGTCCTGGGGCCCCTTCATTTTAGTCTCCATCTCCCCGGTCTCCTTTGTCCCCCCCTCCTCTCCTCCACCTTGCCCTTTAGGACGGGGCTGGGACGAGGATAAATCCGTTCCAGAGCATTCCATCCCAGAGCGTTCCGGAACGCTCTGAGAAGGCCGCGGCGCCCGAGACATCCTCCAGAGACGCCAGAGCCGCCAGACCTCAGAGATTCTCGATTTATCCTGACGCGCACGATTTTACCCTCGTCCTGGCTTCGCCTTACCCCGACGTGGCTCCTGCTCCTCCTGGCGCGCGCCTCCGGGAGCACTCCGGGAGTTCCGGGCCCCCCGACGGGGGCTGGAGCGGCTGGGTCGGAGGGTCGCGCCGCAGATCGCCGATGCGTCGGCGATGCGTCGCGATCTGGAGCCCGTTATGCTTCACCCCGCCGTCGGCGATGCATCGCCGATGCATCGGCGGTGCAGCGCCCAGCCCCCGTCCCCTGAGATCCTGGAGGGGGGGGAAGCGAGAAGGAGAAGGCCTTCTCAGAAGGCGGCGGGGCTTCTCAGAAGCCCTCGCGTCTTCCGAGAAGTCTTCCTCCCTCTCCGGGAAAGGCCCAGGAAGCTTCTCAGAAGGCCTGGGGGCAGGCCGAGCCTCCTGAGAAGGCCTGCCCCTCCTCACTTCCCCCCCCCCTCGCTCGCCGCCGAAGGCCAGAAAAATATGCCACTCCTTTCGCTGGGGCCGCGCGCGCCGCGCGCAGAGCGACCTCTGGCGCTCTCTGGGGGCCCACGTCGGAGAGCCGCGCGTGCTCCGCGCGCGGTGGCCGCGCGCCGCACGCGCGGTGGCGCCTCCCCCGCCCGCGCCTGCGCCTCCTGCCCCGTCACTGCTTCGGGAGCCTCGAGACGGGGGTCAGTGCAAACGGGGGTCAGCCAGGGCGCGGGATCCTGCAGGATCCTGCGAAGGCCAGGGTCGCATCTGGCGTCAAAAGGGATTTGGCGAAACATCGGGAGCCTCGAGACGGGGGTCAATGCAAACGGGGGTCAGCCAGGGCGCCGGATCCTGCAGGATCCTGCGAAGGCCCCCGCTGGCTGACCCGGGTTAGGGAGCCGCTCGTGGCCGCGAGGCGGCCGCGCCTATTGGCTGACCCGGGTCTGCGAGGACCTGCGTTGCAGTTTTTTTTTCCTGCATTGCAGTTTTTGGTTTCCTGCTGACCCGGGTCTGGATTGACCCGGGAGCAGTGCTCCTGCGGTGAGTGCAAGCGGCGGCGAAGCGTCCTGGCCCCACCAGACAGTGTTCTAAGAACGGCTTGTGGTTCCCACGAAAAATGTTCTGAGAACATTGCTGGCTGGGGCTGTCTTGTTTCAACACGTCGGGTTTGTGTTCTAAGACAATGTTATGCCGGGCCTCCCAGATGGGGTCCGAGCAGGCGGGGTCGGAGGACCGCGCCGCCTCGCCGATGCGTCAACGGTGCGGCTCGACGTAGGGCCCGATCTGCTTCACGTCGACGTCGCCGCTGCATCGCCGATGTCGCGACGATGCATCGCGGGTGCATTACCGATGCATCGCCGATGCATCGCCGACGCATCGGCGAGGCGGCGCGATCCTCCGACCCCATCTACTCGGACCCCATCTGGGAGGCCTCTATGAATTGCCTGACGGCTGGCGCGCTGCCACCTTCCCCACGACCCTGAGTCGTGTGGCATTTAGCCCACTCAGACCTGTGCTCCGCATTCGCTGCGGCGAGGGTGCTTTCACGACCACCCCCTCGCTGTGCAATCGCTGCAGGCTGATGGGAGGAGATGAGCCGTCGGCGTGGCGTGAAGTGCAAAGCGCGGAGGGCGGAGAGGGAAGGGGGCAAGCTAGGTGCGCTCGTGTCATAACTGACGTCCTACCCCTCGCTCCCATCTCTTACCACCGCGTAGAGCCCCTCTCTATTCGCGTAGTCGGGTGCCGAAGGAAACACTGATCCCGAAAGGGCAGACGTCGCACAGCGTAGCATGGCATATCATGGCGTAGGAGAGAGCGGCAGACTGTAGCATGGCACGGCATGGCGTGGCATTGTATAGCCAAGCGTTGAGAAGGACACATGCGCGGAAATGAGGCCGGTCCCCTATGCGGGAACACGACGTACAATAACCGAAAACTTGGAATGAGGCCAAGGCTACTGCTGGGACACCGCTGAACAGGACAGCAAACGCAGAAGATAGGCCAATGCTGCAGCGGGGGCACCACTTTCAAGGACCGAGAGCACGGAAATGGAGCCAATTTTTCAGCGGGAGCACCGTTTCAAAAGGACCGAGAATATTCGGACTGGAAAACACAAGGCATATAACCTTTTGTGAGTCCCGTGTGTAAAAACGATGTGCGGAGAGGGGCGGGATACCTTCAACACGTCCTCGGGAGAGGAAGGCACTGCTCATTTGAGGGAATGTATTTTGAGAACTCACGTCATCCTGACCCCTGTTCCGTTTCCGGGAAGTCCGGGAATTCTGGCGACGAATTCCAAATCCGCGCGCTCGCGTGGGACATCCTCAGAAAACCGGCCCCCCGAGCCTCCCCAAGGAGGCCCTCGGAGGCCCCCTTCTTCCATTTCCGGAACATCCGGGAATTCGGCTACGAGCTCCAAACTGGCGCCCTCGCTTGGAACATCCTCAGAAACTGGCGCCCTGAGCCTCCCCAGGGATGCCTTCAGAGGCCCCCGAGGGAGGCCCCCAAGGACGATGACGAGGACGAGTAGGGAGGAAGACGTAGGAGGACGAAGGTGGGAAGGGAGGGTAGGAGGAGGAGGAGGAGGAGGAGGAGGAGGAGGAGGAGGAGGACGAGGACGAGGATGAGGAGGAGGAGGAGGAGGAGGAGGAGGAGGAGGAGGAGGGAGGTAGGAGGGGAGGAGGAGGGAGGAGGAGGAGGAGGAGGAGGAGGAGGAGGAGGAGGAGGAGGAGGAGGAGGAGGGGAGGAGGATGGAGGAGGAGGAGGAGAGGAGGAGGAGCGAGGAGGAGGAGGACGAGGAGGAGGACGAGGAGGAGGACGAGGAGGACGAGGGGAGACGAGGAGGAGGAGGAGGAGGAGGAGGAGGAGGAGGGACGAGGGACGAGGACGAGGACGAGGAGGAGGAGGGGGAGGAGGAGAGGAGGAGGAGGGGAGGAGGAGGAGGAGGAGAGAGGAGGAGGAGGAGGAGGAGGAGGAGGTAAGAGGAGGAGGAGGAGGCGGGAAGGAGGAGGAAGAGGAGGAGGAGGAGGAGGAGGAGGAGGAGGAGGGGGAGGAGGGGGAGGAGCAAGAGAAGCAGGAAGAGGAAGAGGAGAGTTGGGTGAGGTGGCGAGGATCAGGAGGGTGAGCCTTGCCCTCCTGATCCTCACCCTCCCCATCCTCGCCCGCGGCACCACCGTCTCCCGATCGTTGTCCTCTCGATCAGCCGCAGAGCGACTGGTTAGTATTGTGTAGTTGTGGAGAAAATGCGAACTGAAAGGATTCCCCTCGGCGCTCCCTGCCCGGACCGCAGGGTGGCGGCGAGGTTGCGCCGAACACGGTGCGGTGGATGACGCTCAACGAGTCCTCCACGATCGTGCAGGCTGGATTGCCCGACCTCGCCCCGGCGATTGTGTGGGATGCCAACCTGCAGAGCACCTTCAGGAACCGTGTCTTTCCACCCCCCTTTTCCTACCGCGTCGTACGTTTTCCTCCCTTCTCCCTCTCCTTATCCTGCGATTGCTTCTCCTCTCCTCCCTCCCTCCTTCCTCCGTGTTCCTCCGTGGTCCCCTGTTTCTTGCTGCTGCTACCCCTTCCTCCTCCCTCCTCCTCCTCCTCCGCCTCCCTCCTCCTTCCCCGTCCCTCCTCCGTCCGTCCCTCAGGCTCCTCAGTCTCCCCTCTTTCCTGTCCTCCTCTTTCTTTGTCTCCTCCTCCCCCTCCCTCCTCCATCCCTGCCTCCGTTCCCTGCTTCCAGTCGTGCTCCTCCCCTTCCTTTTCCTCCTCGACCAACGCCGGCCGCCTGCCAGCTCGTCCAAGAACATTCTCTACGACCTGCTGGGGGAATCCGCCGACAGCGAGGCGCCGGGCGGCGCCCCCGGCCACTCGGAGGAGGAGCGATGATGAGGAGGGATGAGGAGGAGGGATGAGGAGGGTCAGGTCATGATGGGAGAGGGTGAGATTGAGAAGCGTAGGAGAGATCTGGAGGACGAGGAGATGAGCAGGAGGAGGAGGAGGAGGGAGCGGGAGGAGGAAGGAGGATTAGAACGAAACGAAGAGGATGGGGCTGCTGCTGACGACGACGACGATGATGATAATGACGATGATGATGATGCTGATGCTGATGATGATGATGTTCATGATGCTGCTGATGATGATGCTGATGATGATGCTGATGCTGCTGCTGCTGATGATAATGATAGTGACGATGCTGCTGATGATGATGGTGATGCTGATGATGATGATGATGATGATGATGATGATGATGGTGATGCTGATGATGCTCATGATGGTGATGGTAATGTTGATGGTGATGGTGATGGTGATGGTGATGGTGATGGTGATTGATGATGGTGATGGTGATGTTGATGATGCTGATAGTGATAATGGTGACGATTGTGATGGGAATCGGGATGGTGATGGGGATGGGGATGGGGATGATGACTCGTGATGGAGATTGTGATGGTGATGATGATGGTGATGGTGATGGTGATTGTGGTTTTGATGATGGCGATGCTGATACTGATGATGCTGATGATGATGCCGATGATGCTGATGCTGATGATGATGCTGATGATCTGATGGTGCTGGTACTGATGCTGCTGATGCTGCTGATGTTGCTGATGATGTTGATGATGACGCTGACGATGATGATGATGATGATGATGATGATGATGATGATGATGATGATGATGATGATGATGCTGATGCTGATGCTGATGCTGATGCTGATGCTGATGCTGATGCTGATGCTGCTGGTGATGATGATGATGCTAATGATGATGATGCTGGTGGTGGTGATGTTAATTGTGATGGGGGTGGTGATGAGGATGAGCATTAGGGGGATGAGGATGAAGATGAGGACGGGGACGGGGATAAGGGGGGGGATCATCAGGGGGATGGGGATGAGGACGAGGATGATGATGATGACGACGACAACGAATAAGATTGGAGCTATGATGATTGTGGTTGTGGTGATGCTTATGGGAATCATGGGGATGATGATGCCGATTATGATGCCGATGATGATGCTGATGATGATGCTGATGATGATGCTGATGCTGCTGAAGATGATTATGATGATGATGATGCTGCTGCTGATGATGATGATGATGATGATAGTGGTGGTGGTGGTGCTGCTGATGATGATGCTGATGATGATGCTGATGGTGATGATCGTGATGATGACGATTATGATGATGATGATGTTGATGATGATGATGGTGATAATGATGATGGTGATGATGATGGTGATGCTGCTGCTGATGGTGATGCTGATGATGACGACGATGATGACGATGACGATGACGATGGCGATGACGATGACGATGATGATGACGATGATGATGACGATGATGATGATGATGATGATGATGATGATGATGATGATGATGATGATGATGATGATGATGATGGTGATGGTGGTGGTGCTGGTGAAGGATGGAGGATGAGGAGGAGGAGGGGGAGGAGGAGGAGGAGGAGGAGGAGGGGAGGAGGGAGGAGGGAGGGGAGACGGAAGATGATGATGGGAGGAGGAGGAGGAGGAGGAGAGGGAAGGAGGCGGAGGCGGAGCAGGCGGAGGGCAGAGGCAGCGGCGGAGGCGGAATGGAGAGGCGGAGGAGGAGTGTTGGAGGAGGAGGTGAAGAGGAGAGAGGAAGAGGAAGGAGAGACGAGGAGGAGGCGAAGGAGGATGCAACAATGAGTGCGAAGGGGGAAGAGGAGGAGATGAGGAGGATGAGGCGGGAGGAGGAGGAGCGGAGGAGGAGGAGGAGGAGGAGGAGGAGGAGGGGGAGGGGATGCGGATGAGGAGGAGAGAGGCGGAGAAGGAGGAGGAGGGGGGAGGTGGAGGCGGAGGCGGAGGCGGAGGAGGAGGAGGGATGAGGAGGAGGTTGGGATGATGATGAGGAGGAGGAAGAGGAGTTGGAGGAGGAGTGAGGGGGAGGAGGATGAGGAGGAGGATGAGGAGGAGGAGGAGGAGGAGGAGGAGGAAGACGGAGGCGGAAGGGGAGGGGGAGTGGGAGGGGGGGAGAGGGGGGAGGGGAGGAGAGGAGGAGGAGGAGGCGGAGGAGGGAGGAGGTCGGAGGGGAGGAGGAGGAGGAGGAGGAGGAGGAGAGGAAGGAGGAGGAGGAGGAGGAGGAGGAATAATCTGAGGAGGAGGTGGAGGAGGAGGAGGAAGAGTAAAGCGACTGGTAACACGATCGTGAATACTAATGCTGCGACTAATAATACACATGCGAATGCGAATGATAATACGACGGAGATGAATATTACGATGAATAAGAAACAGAAAGGGCTGCTGCTGCTACTTGTACTACTACTACTACTACTGCCACTACTGCTACTGCTGCCGCTACTACTACTACTACTACTACTACTACTACTACTACTACTACTACTGCTACTGC